GTAGATCACGACTACTTCAATTCATTAGTCCTAATTATTTATCACTAGTAACTACAATATATCAACTAGGCACTTAACAAAGCGTGATTAATTAATATGTCAAAACTTAAGTTTAACCTAAACTGCTTTTCTATTCTGGTGGTTAAGATAATTTGGCTATAAACCTTCCATGTTGTGATCGACTGCCATAGGGAGCACGGAGAGTATCTGTACCAGGCCGCACCAAAAACCGAGGAAAAGGGGGGACACGCAAAGCGCCAGCGAAATAATTTATCTTACTTTGTTCTCATTCCTCTGTGTCATAATTTCCCTTTTCTTTCGCTGAAGCGTCAATCTGCATGTACAGTTCAGTTAGTTTATTTTCCTTCTGATCTGATGCTTGATCCTTGGCTGCATTATTTGTAAATCAATGCGTTTCATTCCCATGTTAATCGTAACCTGAAACTTTCTAATTTAAAGAAATGAAAATAATGACAGTTAAACTGTATTTCAATCATGAAAACGCCTAGAAATATGAAACGAATATAAATAATTTGGGTAATGGCCTTTCGGTTTGTAGAACACTGGCATTGATAGTCACTGGGATTCAGGAAGAACACGCCTCTTTCATCTTCATGGACTAGAGAGAGTTAAATACAGAGTCTGGAAAGGAAACCTGATGGTTTCTAAATTAGTGCAATAGTAAAAACGTTAGGTTTCCTTACCGGACCCTGTACAAAACTGAGAATATGTCAGAAAACGCTCGTCATGCTATGAAGTATACTCTATATGAAGACAACTTTAAACATGACTGTTTCCGGGAGGATCAGTGTATCTGGTGCAGACTCGGTGCAACGTGTAGGCTCCAAGTTCGGATTGCATCAAAAATGAGCAGTTTGATGTGGTTGGACTTAGCCGAAGCTTTTCGAAACCTTAAATAGGAGGTTCTTCCTGCCTACATAAGGGACGCACTGTCTTCGCTCGCTCGGAAGCCGGGACTTTGGGTTCGAATCCAACTCAGGGCATCGATGTTTAGTGTTTGCGTGCGTGCGTGCGCGTGTGTGTGTGTGCACGCGCACCTTTTTCTGTGTTTGTGTACAGGTAGAGTTTTTGCGACGAGCTGATCACCAGCCCGAGGAGTCCTAACGAATATCTAAGATCTAGTAAACCGAAGTGAAAAGGAGTTTCATGGAGGTAGGCAAGACCTAAACTTGTGCCGTAGCACCAAAGAAAAAAAAAATTGTAAAACGATTAGCAAATGATGAACTAAAAAGTATGTGGAAGAAGGGGTTTGAGGGCTGGGATATTTCCGGAGGAGTGTGGAAATTACGAATGCTCTACCGGAGTACCCGATATCCGTACCAAGGTTTGAATGCGACACCTTAGGAATATGAAACTGAAGACTTAATTGCTGCATAGCCACGTTCGGTGCCTCGTGTTGGTAATGTTCAAGGTAGCGAGATAAAAATTGCACAGGGCTTCAATAGTAATATTCATACCATAGTTTACGAAAAATTTCATTGTGTCTCAGGCGAATTTTATTTGATGAAGAAAGGGCAGACAGATAAGGATCCGGGATAGGACAGTCAGTGTAGTAAGGGGCTACGGGTTGGACAGCCGGGGTTTGATTACCCACAGTGTCCGGCTCTGGGGCCCATCCTGTCTCCTAACCATTGGATTCCAGAGGTCTTTTCCCGCGGGTAAAGTGGAAGGGGCATGAATCTGACTACTTTTCTCTATCTAGTGTTGTGGTCAAGAATGGTGGAGCTATATCTCGACTCCTTCATATGTCTTTATGGTGTGGTGCTTCATTAATTAAGAATTAAGCACAGATATATCTTTAGCTTTTTTTTTAAGGGCAGATGTATAGACATTCGCAGCTCAGTAACACAGCTCCAAGAAAAGAAATCTGTCACTTTGGAACATTAGGCATGAAATGAGATGGGCTGAAGCCTTTCAACTTAAAAACCAATTCGCGATACAACAAAACCGAAACAGAAAGCTCGGAGAATGAGTGGGATTTGAGGTTCTCACAGCCTTGATTATGAAGAGTTCTGTCTTCTGTGTAGTCTGTTGACAGTCAACCTATGTTCCTATGGCAAGATGCCAGTGTGAGAGCAGGTGGCAAGCTTATCCCATAAGATAGTACTCTTGTTGGAGACTGGGTTTCTGCTTCTTCCTGTTCGCCTGTATCATGCGGCAACTTCTCCGACACTGCTGTTGCGCTTGTAATCGTAACATAATATCAAAAGGCGTTTCCCGAGAAAGCGAGCAAGTTTATACTGCAGAGTTTCTAGCTGGGAACTTTACTTTGTGACACTTCTGCACAGTTGAGATTCAAATGAGACGTATGAGATGAGAGAATTTTCATGAATTGTGAATATACAGGAGTTTGGAATGTATCCATTGGTTAGGTTACCCGCAAACCAAAAGGAATCTTACTCATTAGTTTTCAGTTATATATGAGGTCACTATCACTGTTTTACATTACATAGGTAATAATGAAATAGAAAGGGTGTGGAAGGAAACTGACCTGCCCTAATTTAAGGTAAAATGCCGAGATTTACATGAAGGAACTGAGAAAATCCACAAAGAATCTCAATTAGTACAGTTGTTTATTCGACCGAGGTTCGAACTTAGCAACTTCCAAATACAGGACAGAGGCTTTATTGCCTCAAGCAAGTTGCTTGGTACGTGAGCCATTGGGCCGTGCCATATCTCAGGCGGGTAGTTGCCGACTTCCCACTGCGGCGGCCCAGGTTCGAGCCCGGGTCAAATCATGTGAGATTTGTGATGGACAAAGTGGCACTGTGATAGATTTTCTCCGAGTGCTTTAGTTTCGACTGCCAATTCGAATTCCACCGATTGCTACACGATTATCATCGTCTATCATCTGAAAATAGTACAATAGGCCAATAGTGGCCGACGTACCAAGTGGACTCAGTCTCACCCCATAAGGAAAAAATGCATGAACCGTACTTCAAAATCAAAATGCCTTCTTTGTTTATCATTACACCCAAAGTGGGGATTTCGTGTTGCAATTACCGAAAAATGTCCGTGTTTCCAAGAAGCCTCTGATTTTCAGACCGTTCACACACTGAAATCTGGTGTTAAAATAACGCACTACCGCTCCATTCAAAGTCTCCTCTCTTTCATCACACCCAGACACTCTGTCATTATAGGGCACACAGCTGACAGAGCGTCAATAATTGACTGAATGAAGAATCAAGATTTCTTCAGAATTTCACAAAGAGTCCGTGATTAGGGCTCGACGAGTAACACTTGTTCTGGAACCTGTTGAGCGAGGTCACGACATACTGTATGTAGGACCAGGACCGAAACAGAATTTATAAGGAGCTAATTAGCAATACAATATATTATACTTGCATGCAACATGTATTGATTTCACTCCCACAACAGCGATGCCGTAACTAGGGCTGTTGCGTCAGACGTACTCTATAGCAAAACGGTTTCTTCTTTCGTGGGCTTCTCATCTATGTCAACACAATTTTGAAATCATCCATTTTGTAATTGAAAATAAAATATAAAAAAACAGTATTCACGATTATCTGGGTCTGCAAGCAGTTACGGTCTGGATGTAGGTTCAGTGGGAGATGCTTATAAAAATAAGCATGTTTTCCTCTTTCGATTAAGGTTTAGAACATAGGATTATTTCTAAGAAATATTTAGGAATCATGTGGCTATTGCAAAAGTTTTTGTATTTTAATTGGCAGGCTCTGTGTTTCCTTTCCTTTTTACACCACTTACTTTTTAGGTTATTTTTCCTTCCTTATTTAATGATATTTGGAATGTATATAACACATAGCGTAGGACTACGCTTTGCCTTCGGAAGATTAAGCAGAAAAAACGTCTAAGGAAGCTGTTATCTCTAATTCTCAGTCCTTCAAAACGTTTACACGGAGTTGCCCAGGAAAATCAGGGAAGTTCCCTATTGTATATTATATCTGTCGGCACGAATTCCGAACCAATCGAATTATATCCTTAGATTTCTCAAACTGCATCGTTCTTTCCCGACTAAAATTTTGGATGTATTTCTATTTTCCTCCGCCTGGGGCACACTCGTCCTATCCACCTTGGCTTAGTTGTCATAATAATATTATCTGAAAATTTGAAATTACCAAATCCTTCAGCTTATTTATAAGTTTGTTATTTTAAAACAAGGAGACTCCCTTTGTCGGGTATAGATATAAAAGCTTTGCGCTGCCGCCATGTTTGTGATTCTTGATTGATAATAAAAACGTGTATTACATAATGTGTAGGTGTGTTTACGGACTATTTTCTTATAAATTTTCATACGTTAGCTACAATATTTCGTCAGTTATTGCCATAATATTGGTATATGAACATAGTTTTCATAAAGCTATGTTCTTTATGTGCATTAAAACGTTGCCACAAAAATATCAATACAGTTCTATGTAGATCTACTGTTACACATAAGATCGGGACTGTAAATCAGTAGCGCTTGAATCACTCTCAAGTCACAAGTTCGCGCGTCCGCCATGTTCTCATTACGGACTATAGGAAATCAAAAGGAACGACGTTGGGTGACCTTAAGTGGCAAAACATCCATGGTTTACCGCTCAAATAGTTCAAAAATATAAATGATGTCTCACGCACGGAGAGGTGAACAAATAGCATAGTGAAAGACTGTGTCATAGCTCAGGCGGTTAGCTTCCGGTCACGGCAGCCCAGGTTCCAGCCCAGGTCAGGTCATATAGGATTTGTGGTGGACAAAGTGGCACTGCGGCAGGTTTTCTCCGAGTACTTCGATTTCCCCTGCCTATTCTCATTCCACCTACTGCTCCACACTCATCTATCATCCGGGACTGGTGCACTAGGCCAAATAGTGGCCGACATGACCTAAATCTTACACCACTCAAAGAAATTAACTGACTAAAGATCTCGTTAAGTGTAAGCTAAAGCTATCTTTCGTAAGTCAAGTATTCATGAAATTTGAAAATACTGGCATTAGTTTGGTTAACGTATCACTACTAACGCACTTGGAGCAGTTCAGTGAAACTGTCTGTCGTGCCTCTTACCGAGTCGGGTTTTAGGCGAATGTCCTTGCCGGCCGTGTTGAGGAGTAGCCTCAGGATACTTGTGGCCGTCCCGGTCTGCCTGCTAGCCACCAGGTGCACTGCCGTCTGCATTCTGGGCTGAAAATGGAACATATCAGGCAGTCAGCAACAGACTATCTCGTATCTCAGTTGAAACATGCAAATGCACTAAAATTTACCACCTTAAATATCTAACTTAAAGTTTCTCAGACTTTCGGCAATTTCGGACCACACCATGGGCGGTCGGAACACATGTATATCTCCCAGTTATCATAACATTCCCCTTAACAGTAAAAAACATGCAAATTTTAGTTTCGAATAGGAGAAAAATTATAGTTAAAGTTGATATAAACATTTTTTTCTACCTACTAATTTAAAGTAAATTTTAAGGGATAATTTATCACATTTGTAATTTAAATAATTTCATTTATTGTATGTCATATAGGCCTAATAATACACTGGCCATCTAGTGAATCGCCAGGGACCAAGAATGGTTCGGGGCTTTTCTTGAAAAGTTGATAGTTATTCGCTTTGTCAAATTTTATATCTTTATACAACACAATATTCCAAGAAATTCTGCCATTAACCTTATCCTAAGGCTGTTCAGTCCAGTCCACGCCGCTACACATTATTTGTTTAAGACCCAGCTTAGGATCACACTTTCATCTACACATAGATCTCCCACGTGACCTCTCCCCTTCAGGTCCTTCGATAGGTACCTTGTACTGCCTCATCTGTCTCCATGTATCCTGCACATAACTTCTGCAGTATGATTATGTGTCAGTGTCTCATGCTCAGTGCATATAACTGCGCTTGGTTAGTACATGCAATATGTTATACAGCAGAAGCTGACTAAAGCAGAAGACAGATTAAACTGCAGCAAGAAGGTATCGGAAAAAATATCCCGCTTTAAGGATAAGTGAGAGCTAACCTAAAATTACCTCGAAAAAAAAGACTGTGTTTAATGTAGAAAAGGAAATTAAAAACTAGAATTTAATTGAAATTCTTTGCTTGAATATTAATTATTTTCTGTTTTATTCTACATTTACTGCAATTGATCTCCGGAGGAATATTTCTGTCGAAAATGGGGAAAAAATAGTTAAAAAAATAAAGCTAGAATATGCATGCTCTGTAAAGAAGACGGCCTGAGCTTGTTGGTACGGCGACTATGGACTGAACGAATGGAGGGGGGGGGGACCGACTCTGGAGCTCGGCCTGTCCAATGGATGCGGCAGGGCCTGTCCCTGGGAGTAAAGGGAGTGAGGTGTCAACCTGACCGCTCGCTCCATATACACGTATTTATGTTATGTCAACTGCTCCATGCCGGTCACGGTAGCCGAGCGGTCTAAGGCATGTACTGTCTTCGTTCGCTTGGAAACCGGGGTCGTGGGTTCGAATCCCACTCAGGGCATGGATGTTTAGTTTGTGTGTGTGCCTTTTTCTGTGTTTGTGTACAGGTAGAGGCCTTGCGACGAGCTGATCACCCACCCAAGGAGTCCTACCGAATGTGTAAGATCTAGAAAAACAGAAGTGAACGGAGAAGTTCATGGAGGTAGGCCTAGGCTCACTGGGGCTCCATACGCCTTCATGGCGTGATGCTTAATTAAGCGCGGGGGCAACTCTGCATTTCTTTACTGTACCGTAACTTACAGTACGTGGTTTCACACTGTCATTCGGACCATGACATGGTTTATGTAAAATTTAGTACATGAAATAGACATCCGTGCTACAGAGGACACCGCATAGAAAGAAAAAAATATATTCATGAAGAATGCCGTCTTCAGGTATGTGGCGCCTTGTATATATTTTGTTAACTGACGTTTCAGAGGAACGTATCGCCTCCATCTTCAGTGTATAAGAAACTCGCGAAGGATAAACCAGCGTGAGCAGGTGTCTGTTGGTGTCTACCCTGAAAATGGAAGCGATAGTTTATTCCATACGTAGGTTAACAGAATATTTACACGGTGCCACATCCCAGGAAACGGCATTTTTCGTAGTCATCGCCGTGGAAACCTCAAATCTCAAACCTCATGTTTCATGTTTCTTAACCCTTTCGCTGCTTATTATGCTAGCATCATTTTCCTAAACATATGCAATTTTAAAGTAAAAATTTTAAAAAAGAAAAGTGCATTTTCATGGCCCAGCGAATGAAGCTGAATGACCGGTGAAAAGAGTAGACTATTTCTTGACGTTGACCGAAGTCGAATGTGGCACTGTACGGTAATGAATGCTTGTTCGATTTCGGTCGAATACTGCAGCAACGGGGTTAAGGTTCTATTATAAGCAGGTTTTACTGTGCTACATAATTTAAATGAATTACAGAAATTCGTAAGTTTAAGTTTATTGCTATAGCAGCTACTGCGTGTGGCAGTTGAAATATTTTTAAGCGATTTACTAAGAAATTTATCTACTTTTATTATTAGTTATGTTAGTGCCTTAATTTAAAATTATGTTTACTTTTTTCATACAGTGGTATGGAATCTTCTTTAGAGATGTTTCTGCCAAAAGAATTTATTCTAATTTATGTTATAATTATTAAATATTTTTTCTTCAATTTCTATCTTATATGCTTGTTCGTTTTAATTTTCTCATAAGTTTCTTTATCAATTTTAAGAAATTTTCCATTTATACAAAAAGAGAAAAATAACGAATACAATAAACCACTGAATGCTCAGTTCTTTAGTGGTATAAGAGAGACTGTTTTTACTAAAGAGTCAGTTAAGCTCTGATTTCGTGAGTTCATTGTCACATTTCTGTCTTTTTAAAAATGCTTTCATTCAAACGCCATGTTTACTTGGGTCCTCGTCAGTACGGTTCTGCACACTCAGGTTCAAATGAAGCAGGTGGCCTCCACGTACGAAAGGTACTGTCTGCCAATATAATTAATAAGCAATCGCATGGAGTCGACAAGAAGTCTAAAATGAACCATTCAACGTAAAATATCTATGTTACGAAAATAATTAGAACAACGGAATTATGCGATTATTGTTCTGACAATGCAAGCGCAATGGATCTGAGTGTAGATGTCTAGGCTTATTCATAATTCTTAAATATAATCTTATAATCTACCATAATGTGAATCAGGATAACGCATTATTTGATCTTTGCAACAACAACCTACAAGGTCTTCCTTGAGCACTGATACTTTTTCAACTAAAAGAAATATTTACTGCTATGGGACCCCAGCGTTTATGAGATTGTTCAAGAAGCTCCGTAACCTAACCTTATTATGTCTCAGTTCTATTTATTACAATATTCAGAATCTATTCCACCATAACATTTTCCCCCCTCTATACAGATTTTGGATAATGTAGTCTGTATAGCGACTGGCTACGGGCTGGTTGACAGAAGAGTCGGAGTTCGAACCCGGGTAGGGTCAAAAATTTTCTCTTCTCCACGTCATCCATACCTGCTCTGGGGCCCACCCAACCCCCTAGCTCTTTCTCCGGCGATAAAGAGGCAGGGACGTGAAGCTGACCACTCACCTCCAGCTAGTGCCGAGGTCAAGAAAATGTGGATCTATACATCCACTTCCCTATACGCCTTCATGGCGTAGTGCTTAATTAGTTAAGCACAGGGACAACTTCACCTATACAGATCTTTTCCCAATTTCTCATTCATTCAATGCATGCACCATGATCGGCCCATCTCTCCTCCTCGATGTTGCGAACACTTTAAGAGATAATGAAACTTCTCAGTGCGTAATTGTTACATACTTATTTTATTTTCCTTTTCTTAGGTCCAAATATTCTCCTCAGGAATCTGTTCCCAAACATCCTCGATCTATGTTCTTCCCTTAATATGGGGAACCACATATTATACCCATACAAGACAACAGGTGAACTGTGCCGTTTACACGTCCCTTCAGGTTTTTAAACAGACGCGAAAATATATAAATCTGAACTGTATGGTAGAAAGCATTCCGCGAATTTTATCTGCTGTTAAATTTGTGAAAGCAATTTTAACTTTTACTACATTTTCCAAATGCTTAAGCTCTCTCATATTTTTGCAAGTTTTATTAACTCTCCTTTTGTATTATGATTCTGTTTTAAGTTATAGTGAAAGAATATGAACATGCTTTTGGTATTCTCTGCTTTTACGTTCAATTACAGACACTTGAATTTATGTTCTTTATATTATATATTTGTAGCAAATACACTTTAGAACCGAGAAGAAAAGTTAAACAATTCAAGACTGAGTTATTCTACAACGTTTCTCTTTCGATCACACTTGTATGAAAAAGGTTAACAGTTTTAATAAACGGTTAATTACGCGTTTTAGCTTAGGTGGAGAATCCTTCCGCCTGGCCATGAGGTGCACCGGGGTATGGTCTATAGTCTGCAACACATGTTGCCTTGTCGAGACACTGATTTAATTTACATCTACTGCCTTCTCCACAACAAGGACGAGAACAACTGAAAGCCAACAAGTGAAGCACAGTCATGTGTAGGATCCTGTACGCGTAGTTTCTCATAGCATCTCAGGAGTCCATAATATGCAGACCGCGGGCCGCATTATACCTTCTGGACTGTCATTTATATTAGTTTATGAATAGTTTATTTACCAAAATTGTCATTAGTTCGAACTACATAGTGTTGGATGGTGGGATGACTGTAAATAGCGAATAAGATTAAAAGTTTCTGACGATGGTATATTGCTACAAGTATTATGTTTCTGGACTTCATTCATCGTCGTCTGTTTTCTAAAAACCGTCCTATTTATTTTTCAAAACACAGCGTTTCGGAGACTGGATTATGTCCCCGTCCTCAGGTAAAACCTACTCCGGAGATAGGGGCTAGCTCTATCTATTGGACCCAACTGAGTAGTTTTTACCTGAGGATGAGGACAGAAAAACCAGTCTCCGAAACGTTTTTTTTAATAAACAGGACGGATTTTAGAAAACAGACAGGACGATGGATAATGTCCAGAAACATAATACTTGTAAATAGCGAGCTGAAATGGACACAGAAGCACGCGGCAGTGCTAATTTGATACACTGTCCTGAGTAGGAACTGAGGAAAACCACAAACATACAAGTCAGAATAGCCAGTTTACCGGCTAATACTCGTATTGGAACTAGATATTTTCCGAAGATGTTAGAAATGTTGTCACTGAAGTAAAGTAACTCTGGAAACTAAGATTTAAATTTGGGGTTTTAAGACGTCATTATTAATACCAGCCCCAAATCATAGCGCTAGATCATATATTTTATATATTTATATCTAATATTTTACAAACAGAAACGTTTTTCGTTTTATGTTTATATTTAGGCAACATTTGGCGTTGAACTTTATAAGGATACTCTTTGTACAGAGCCCATAGTCAATTCACTCTTCAATATTCAGTAATTTTCAATGAAACAAAATTTAAGGGTAAGTATCACACATTCCGTTCTTAATAGTAACTCACGGAAAAATAATGGATTTAATGTTTATTTACGAAATGGGCTTTCAACACTTGGGTTATTTCAGCATCCCGAACACTTCCCGATTTTTCCTATTTTACATAATTAACCTTCTTTCTCAGAACGTTTCAGTGGTAGAACGCAATTTATGTTATTAGGAATGTTTTATAAAGTTAAAAGAAAGTCTTATTTGAAGACCATATTAGTCCGTCTGTTTTTCTGCGACCAATTATCAGCCCTCAAAGACTTGGAGAGGTTAATTTTTACATATTTTTTACGTGAGATTTTCCCGGTCTGGAAAACCGAGATTAACGGCCTTGGGGATCCGCTGCGCTGACCACGCGACACCCCCTATCCGCAAAAGTTGACACTAACTTCGCCGACAAGCGGCGGTCCCTCGGTCGGTATAGTTCGCTTGCGGACTACAGGCTACGAAGTTATACATTAGATTTTCAGGGAAGTGCGTTACGCATTTTAGAGCCGTATCCAGGCACAACGTAAGACATTTTACTTAAGACCATAAATGGATAAGAGGTTGGTAGTAAGCTTAACAAACTGCATAGCTCGAATTTGGGAACTTTATATACTATAATATCGAACACAATTTTCCTGCTCTTTCTTCAATACTATGAATTTTAGGGTTTAATTTTTTAACAATGAACGGAGAGATTTCTTTCATCGACAATCTTGAGCATTAAGTAAACCTAAGTAGCCTTTATTGAGGATATCATGCAAATAGTTGATTCAAATCAATGGTTTTCATTTGAATTGAGAGGTAATGCGGCCCGCGAAATTTGCATGTTGGACACCCATCTCATAAATAAAGAAATCAAATGTAGTAATATTTTTATAAACTTTAGTACATATTCTTGAGATCTAGTATATATCTCATATATTTTTGATAATGTTTGTATTTTATTTTAAATTATTTAAAAATTTTTGAAGAGAAAGATTAAGTAGTTAATTATTTACAAGGAGAGAAAGTAATCAAGGTTATCTTTAAATTTTAAGTGTATTAAATACATACAAGATTGAAGAATACTTACACACTTGCACTTGTAGATGCATGAACACAGCCATTATGTTGTGAAGCAAGAAATATGAAGAATTATATATATTTATAAGAATTCTTTAATTTCATGTTAACATTCAAATATTAAACATTCTTATCTTACACGCAGGTTATTAAAATAATTTAATATTTGTATATTCAGTAATTAATTTAAAATATTTATTTAGAGGATATACTGAAGGGAATTCAGATACTTGTGTATATTCTATTTAGATTAAATTTCGTTTTTATATTTCTATTTGGTTTTTGAAAGCATAAGTTGCAACAAAGTAACATATTTAATATTTAATTTATTCTCACTAGATATAAGGGTCGATTAGAGGGTAAGCTTACAGGATGCATATCTTGAAGTTTTCTCCGAATCATCGACATGGATAATAAAATGTCTACTACCATAAAACTTCTTAGATAACGCCGCAAATTAATTTCAATGTGAAAGCTCTACCAGTGATAATTCTGTTTGTGGCATTTAAGTCATTCATTCAGAAACTTAAAACTCCATGGGGTTAGTCCTCCTGTCCCCTACCCAAAAAAGTCAGCGTCCTGTTCATTCAATCATTATTTTTCTGAATTCCAAGAGGTCAGTTTGAGTTTCCCAGATGCTGCTTCAGCACTGGAAATAAAGGAATCAACATCTGATAATTTGCAGATTTAAAGCCGACAGAAAGGGGAAAAGTAATAGAAAAACATTTCAAAGATTAGGAGAAACATTTTTATGGAGAGGGCATAGAGAAGAAACAAACAATTCTACGGCATCTTTAAGTCGCCTTGGGGCCTTACTTACTCATGGAACTGAACGCTTCTGGAGGATCCGCCAATATTGCAGCTACTCAAGAATTTCCCAGAATTCTATGGAGCCCGAATGTTCATTATCGTGTTCACAAGAGCCCTCCACTTTCCCCTACCCTTAGCCAGATCAAGCCAATCCATATCATTCAAACGTAACTCTCTAAGATCCATTTTATATTGTCCACTCACCTACGCCTTGGTCTTCCTAGTGGTCCCTTTCCTAAAAACAAAAATATTTAAATCTGAGATGGAGGGAGAATGTACTTCTGAAACATTGGTAAACACATACCAGAATACACAGTGCCATAACTCAGAGGATTATAATCTAAATTTACAAAAATATTATTTGCGAGTCATGAAATGACATTGTATTATCCATGCCGAGGGTTTGTTAAATCACTTCAAGGGGAATGTCCTATTACTCGTAACTTATCTCACAATCGACCCTTGTGTAATAGTTTGCTTTTAGTTACACTTCAAATTATTTTCTGGTCGCCTCTGCTTTTATACCGAAAGTTTTAATCCCTGATCATAATTTTACCCTTGCTTACCCCCCCGGACGCGAACGGGTCGACGCCCTTCTTGGACAGCAGGATCTTCACGATGTCTTCCCTGGAATGCATCGCGGCGATGTGAAGAGCGTTGTAGTTATCCTGCAAAAATATAACGTAATTTAGTGTTTCGTATGCATGGGATTTTACAGTTAACATGTTATACATTTGTTTACTTTTGGCATTTCATTCATGATCTAAGCGTTGTAATAAACAATAAATGTCATAATATTTCTTTAATTCTGTTTCCAAACATTTTCCGGTTCTTTTCTTATAGCGACAAGCCTCACTGCTTTATTTCAATGGTGCATTTCTATGACATTGCGCTGGTCTATTCTTATGTCTATTTCTGGAAACGTCAGCTTGTCGACATTATTTCAATTATTTTGCCTCTTTTATTGTAAGTCTGTAACTTTATTTGCACATACGGACTATATTCTGTAGTCTCAAATAATGTATCATTAATACTGAAATGTTAATTTTCGATAATTTTATTTTCTAAAAACCGACAGCTTTTTTTAAATGGTTTTATAATACTATTCTGATATAATGAAGCTTTTAACCTTTCATATCCATCTTGTAAACATAAAGGTCAAATCCTCATTAACAACCCCTCTTCCTCTGAGAGGTACCGAAAGTACGAAAGAGGTTTTCAATTCATAAATTTCTTCTATTAATTACAGGGCAGTGATCGCTTTATGCATGACGCATACTTGCCAAGAAACGAAAATATTATGTTCCTGAATCAGTTTATACATTTTAGAATCCATTTAAATTTGCCTACCAAACTAGATCAAGGCCCGAAAATTGAAAATATTTGTAATACGAAAGAAATTTATCAAACAAGTTGGTTCTTCGCTTTCAAGAGTTGTTACCATGGGAAAATTTTCACTACAAAATGAGTAATATGGGGAAAAAATTGGTAATAATAAGAAGGTAAATATAATTTTATAAGGAGGATAACAAATTAACACACTGATATATTGGGTTTTTGGACTTTATCCATCGTCCTGGTTTTTAAGATAACTAATAACTAGTGTTTTTATTAGTTATCTTAAAAATCAGGACGATGGATAAAGTCTGAAAACCCAATATCTCTGTGTGTTATACACCATCGTCAGAATCCTATAGTAACTACTAATAACAAATTACATTCACAACCAGCTCTTCCATTTCCGTTTAGCAGAAAGTGTTTACCAACCCCTGCGTGTAGACTCCATAGGCCATTTACAGTTCACCTCCATTAACGCCTGAGATCATTATCTCGGCCGTGATGCGAGAACACGACATGCTCGTCGTGCCAGGTTCGATTCGCTACGGCATCTGTGTCTGAATATTTTGTAAGTCACCTTCTGATGCTTGTCAGCCCCAATTCTGCGAGGTCAACACAGATGTAAAAACCCGATTCGGAATCGAAAGGTACAATAATCGATTCGGAATCGAAAGATAAAATAATCGATTCCGAAACAAACATCGGTAATCCTCAGATTTTGCTAGTGTTTCTCTGTCTTTCAAGTGGAATTCGGTGATGGACTTTAAAAATGACAAGAATGTTTTTCCCCCGAAGTCCTTCAAAGATTTTGTATGCCGACACCTTGTGATATACTTCAAGAGATGATGCATAAAACTCATCAGTTGATGCAGCGATGGAGAGAACAGTTTGGTGTAGTTGTAGCATTCTAGATTTTGACTTGAGCGGCAATCATTTTTTAATCTTGGCCGAGTTACCGGTTGTTTTATATATATATTTTTTTTTCGTGGATTTTTTTTTACTAAATAGGAGTGTTTGGAAAATACCTTTCTTCTTCTCTTTTCCTTTTCCTTTCTTTTCTTTCTATTGATTATTTCGTCCTTTTTACTGAATGTATTTCTTTATATTTCCATTTTTCCTCAGTTTCACGTTCCGGTCATTTTGCTCCTCACAGTACTCACTGGACAGGATGCCAGAATGGATCCAGGGCCGACAATATGGTGAAGAGAAATATCCCCGTCATTTCATTTTCTAAAATTTCTTATTTAACGACATTTTCAATATCGAGAACAGCGTTGATATCGGATTATTAATGAATATGAAACAGTTGGTGGAACGAAAAATTTATAGAATGACAAGAAATTAATTTCGAACATAGATATCGGTCCATGACATAAACGAACTCGCATATTCATCAATGCAAAATTTATGAACATACATTTACATGCATAATGTATAAGGCTCTTTTTATACAAACGTATATACAGGCGAACCCCAACTTACGAACATAATGTGTTCTTTGAAATGTGTTTGTGAGTTCAATGTTCGTAAGTTGAATCTATTTTCATAAGATATATCGTTAAATTTGGTAATGTTAATTTTCCAAAATATTCGTGAATGCGGGGTTATGTATTCGTTAAATTGATCCAAAGTTGCAATTATTCCGTGCAATGATCGTAAATACGAATTGTTCGTAAGTAGAAGTTCATCTGCATGCTCTTAGACTCGCCAATGCAATTAAGCGACATATTAACTTATTATTATTATTAGAGGGGGTGGGTTTCCCCATGCACTTAGACCAGTTATTGGTCCGCTGTGCGTCCCCCTTTAATTTCTACTGTCGACATACCCTACCGGTACTGGTGCGTGCTATCAGCCCCGTTCAGCCAACGAGGTCCGTCCTCGGTACCTGATATTTCCCCCATCTACCAGAGGCATTGGAAACTACTTGGGCGGGAAATTGTTATCTAATTTAGCTCAGAGGTCTCCTAGAGACATGAGAATCTTTTACGTGCCGTAAATCTACGACACGGGACCCACGGCTTAAAGTCCCTCCCGGAGGACTTGTTCCCTGAATTTTTCCGCCCTTAAAAATTCCACGACCTCCGCCGGGTTTGAACCCGCGTCCCTTGAGTGACAAATTAACTTTACTTACTTACTTAATCCGTTCCTCTTATACCTTACGGTGTCGAGGTTTTTTTTTTCATTTTTATCATTTTACAGACGGTAGGACTCCCTAGACGAGTGATCAGCTCGTCTCAAGGCCTCTACCTAAACACAGGACAACTCAAACACAGAATAAACACATACACATAAAAAACATCCATGCCTTTTGCGGGATTCGAACCCACGATTCCGGCTTCCGAGCGAGCGAAGACTGTAAATGCCTCAGACCGTTCGGCTATCGTGACCGGCGACATGATTTTACTTAGGGCCAAATGAGGTTGTAAGATTTTCATGTATAGCAAAGAGGAAGCGACTATACAGATAGTGTTCTAAGCCTAATTCAATGTGCTACACTTGCATTTGTCTGGATGAAGAGAAGAACATAAGTACAATTATGGAATATTAATTTAACTAAGGATTAAGACGGTTACCGTCCGAATATATTCAGAATTGACCTGGCTTCAGTTGATCTACTCAATGAGTTGAGTGATAACACAATTTTTATACCCCCTGTTGCCCCTTCCCACGACTCTACCCCTCTCTGCAAGGCCGTACATTACAAGCTAATGCGTCACGCCAAGGCCGTGATCAATATATGTATTTAAGTCTTCGAAGTAGGTCTTCTTCCTCTGGAACACTGGGATAGTGGGTTCGAATCCATTCGAGGTATGGATGTATGTCTGCCTTTTTCCTGTGTTCGTGTCCTCCCGCGTAGGTAGTGTCCTTGAGACGGCCTGATCCCCCGTCCAAGGGGTCCTCCCAACTGTCTATAAGACTAATTGGGAAATGGGAATAGGTCAACGCGCCTAATCCGTAAAAGGCGGAAGAAGAATAAGAGGAAACCTACACAGTGTTTGGGAAGTGACGTCATATTTTGTATAAAGTATATAATTTATTCTTGGAGGCCTACATGATAATGTATGGTGATAAAATTTAAGTATAAGTAAAGTTATGCAGAATTAGAATCTATGGAGTTTGGTGTGGGCTAACTGCCAGACTAGTGCTTATATATATGTTATATGTGTGTGTGTGTGTGTGTGTGTCAGCTATGTATGATCATTCATCACATAGAATTTGAGGATGGTGACGGCGGAGCTCTCTGAGACGTTGATTTTGAAATCAAAATTGACTCGGCTGATCCCTTACAAAGATAGTATATTTATTCGCTGTGAATATTTGAAATGTTACATAAGTGCTTCTACTTATCATCGTTTCTTCCAAACGAATATAGGAACATGTAAATTCATTAAAAACATAGGTAAACCTATCCCTGAAACAGGCCGTGAAGGCCCATAGGGTTGTGAGACGTCAAGGCTTCCATATTTTGTAAACAATCGGCTCATAGATGGCGGTAAGGTTGTCAGCCTTATGCGCCGGCCGCCTTTACCCCCAGGAAGATTTCTGGTACTCGTTTATGTTAGAAACTGAGTCGCTCCATGGTCACAGCGCTGCTGGAAGGATTAGGTAAATTGAAATATCCAATGACCTCATTAGGACTCGAACCCGCGACCTTCCGGCTTGTAGCATAGTGCCTCAACCAATTACGCTACCGCTCATCCCCTTGTAAATTCAGTACCATACATAACATACCCTTGTGATTTATCTTCGGACAAAAGTCCTCTGTCTTCACCGAACTAACGACCGGATTGCTTAACAACGCTGAACCAAATGCACAAGTTTATAGTGTTATAACATAAATAAAAAGTATAGCCTTGTGGGGGAAAGAGTATGTGGCCTATATGAGCTTATAAAATAAATGGACTACTTACTACAAGACCGGGGTTCGGTTTCCGCAAGGGTCATGTATTTAGTTTCTCATATCCACAACGGCTGTACAATAATCACTCTATTTCTTATCCAGTGGGCGTTGGTGATTCCTGCTGTCGACTCTAAAGCGCCTTAACATTAAATACAAACATTCCTCTTCATGCAGTGTCAATGCTAACAATATGGGGACTTAACCCACTTTTTCACTGTACGCCTTAATGTGTTGGTATTCAATTCAATTCAGTTCAATTCTTTATTATTTATGTGCCAAGTCAACAGCTGTAAGGCCAATTACAGACTTAGCACAGTGAAGATGAAAGTAATTAAGTGTAACATTATACAAACATTAGACAAACACATTATAAGTCAAAAATAAATTACAGGAAATTTCTTGGGAAAACACAGTAATGAAGAAAAG